ATTATATACATGTGTAATACCTGTCTATAACAGTATACACATGTGTAATACATGTCTGTGATAGTATATACATGTGTAATACCTGTCTATAACAGTATACACATGTGTTATACCTGTCTATAACAGTATACACATGTGTAACACCTGTCTATAACAGTATACACATGTGTGATACCTGTCTATAACAGTATACATATGTGTAATACCTATCTGTGAAATTATATACATGTGTAATACCTGTCTATAACAGTATACACATGTGTAATACATGTCTGTGATAGTATATACATGTGTAATACCTGTCTATAACAGTATACACATGTGTTATACCTGTCTATAACAGTATACACATGTGTAACACCTGTCTATAACAGTATACACATGTGTGATACCTGTCTATAACAGTATACATATGTGTAATACCTATCTGTGAAATTATATACATGTGTAATACCTGTCTATAACAGTATACACATGTGTAATACATGTCTGTGATAGTATATACATGTGTAATACCTGTCTATAACAGTATACACATGTGTTATACCTGTCTATAGCAGTATACACATGTGTAACACCTGTCTATAACAGTATACACATGTGTGATACCTGTCTATAACAGTATACACATGTGTAATACCTATCTGTGGTAGTATATATACTTGTAATACCTGTCTGTGATAGTATATAATGTGTTATACCTGTCTTTGGTAGTATATACATGTGTAATATATGTCTGTGATAGTATATACGTGTGTGATATTATATACATGTGTAATACTTGTAAATACAAGTTAAAAGTTGTCCATGATATTGAATACATGTGTTTAATCTGTCCGTGTTATTATATATATTTTTATGTTTAATACATGTATTTGTATATACAATTGCTGAGCATGGAAATTTGGATACAAATGGATATTAAGAGTGAAATATATCTGTACTTCATACTTACATTCTGTATAGTACCTTTATATACTGTGTCTACATAATCCTATTTTAACATATATTTTAGGACTCTTTTCAATTACATATTATTTTCGATACATATGTAAGCAGTTTCCTTTTCTATGCAAATGAAATTTGGTGTATGCACAAAGCTCCAGAGATTGAACATGTAGATTTACATTTTTGTAAGAAATTACTAAAAGTGAAGAAATCGGCCAATATCTATGAGGCAAACAAATTAAGGGGATTATAATGGAATATGATTGTTTTCATTCTCTGTTCATTATCCATGATTTGTGTATAATATGTATTGTATACTGATGGTCCAATGGCGTAAAGTTTGAATAAAACTTGAAACTTGAAACTAATTGCTGAAGCTTGTTGATTTTCAGATTTTAATATCTTAAACCAATATTTTATCATTCTAATTTTTCTCATACAAACTAGAGGTAACCGTCCCAATTCAAGATATACCATGTTGAATTGAAAATCATGGTATATCTTGAATTGGGACGGTTACCTCTAGTTTGTATGAGAAAAATTAGAATGATAAAATATTGGTTTAAGATATTAAAATCTGAAAATTGTATTATATCAAATTCCTATAGATTTTTATTACCATGTTGTAGTAGAAATGATTTTAACTGGGCTAAAGCAGTAAGAGATGAATTAAATGATCTATGTCTTAGAGATGTTTGGTTAAATCCATTGTATTTCTCTGAACAAAATGTTATTACCATTGATAAAACAACAAATTTTTGATCAAGGTATACAATTGTACAATTCCTAAGGGCCACAGTGGAAAACTCTCCAAAATGTTTACTGTATAAGCATATAATAGATTTCGGAGAATCATTACAATTTTACCTCACAAAATATATACCAAAGAAATATCGCATTTGTTAAACTCAAATCCGTACATCTACCCATTCTTTGGCTGTAGATGTTAGAAGGAATAATAATATATCTAGAGAACGTAGATATTGTTCACAGTGTAACTCCCCCTCTGAATTCCAAATCTCAACTCTCGTTTTATCAAAAGCTATTATTGGAAAAAGCCGTATGTGTTTAAAGTCGTTCAGTTATTGAGTGTCCATAATATTAAAGAATTGTGTCTACTAGGAAAATTCATCTATGAGGCAAACAAATTAAGGGGATTATAATGGAATATGATTGTTTTCATTCTCTGTACATTATCCATGATTTGTGTATAATATGTATTGTATACTGATGGTCCAATGGCCTAAAGTTCGAATAAAACTTGAAACTTGAAACTAATTGCTGAAGCTTGTTGAGTATACTGCAAATAAACTTACACTTTTTGATTTACCTCTTGGAGAAACATCACTTATTGGGTGTGAGTATCCTCTATATACAACGAAAGATATTTGTTTCCTGTTACATGTTTGAAAAAATATGGGTTGGTATAGATAGGTTAAACAATTTAAATTTCATTTTTTTATTTTTATTAAGCCTACACATGAATAAGAGAGTGGTCTTGACTTGAACAGTTCTTCCTTTGAAAACTGGCAACAAAGGTTAGGGTGGGCACAAAACAATATAGTTTTAAAGGTTTGTTAAAGGTTTCTAACATCAACTTCAATTGTATCTGTATGTGTACATGGAATACCTCTTACCATTACAGGCAGACACATTTCATGTCACGGAAACCAAGTACACTTGATAATAATTAACATAAAACAAATAACAACTTCATGAACATGCTAAAACAGACACAACATTAACGAGGCTGATTACAAAAACAATAAAAATAAATCGAAATGAATTTGTAAAACACACTTTATATTTGAGTATTTGGTGACTCTAATTATAATAAGCCGTATACCGGTAACCACGGTAACGTAACGTCCGACACCGACGGCAGTAACGGTAACCACAGTAACGCAACGTCCGACACCGCCGGCAGTAACGGTAACCACAGTAACGCAACGTCCGACACCGCCGCCAGTAACGGTAACCAACCACAGTAACGCAACGTCCGACACCGCCGGCAGTAACGGTAACCACGGTAACGTAAAATCCGACACCGCCGGCAGTAACGGTAACCACAGTAACGCACCGTCCGACACCGCCGGCAGTAACGGTAACCACGGTAACGTAACATCCGAAACGCCGGTAGTAACGGTAACCACGGTAACGTAACATCCGACACCGCCGGCAGTAACGGTAACCACAGTAACGCAACGTCCGACACCGCCGGCAGTACCGGTAACCACGGTAACGTAACATCCGACAGCGCCGGCAGTAACGGTAACCACGGTAACGTAACATCCGACACCGCCAGCGGTACCGGTAACCACGGTAACGTTTAGTTTTCGTCTTTATTGATTTCAAACAATACAATAAAAAGAAAAACGCCTTAAAATACTGGCTGTCAAAAAGTGCTGCCTATCCAATTAATATTAAAATAGGCGTTTTAAAAACATCTTAATTAAATATTAAACGTAAAGTATATGTAGTTCCGTATAATACGCATATTGTCACATCATGATAAATAGTTGTTCTTTCTGAAAATCGCTAGAAGCTTACAAAGTATAATCCCATATTTCAGCCATATTGGTTGACTGAAAAGCATTTTACGCTGTTATTACGTATTTGATGTGGCGTAATCAATTCATCAGACGCTATACAATGCATCAGAGCAGATAAATAGTTAGGATTAAGTCAGATGAATCCACTGATATAGGTTTGAAGTGTTAGTGTGGCCAAACACGTTATATTGAACAGGCGAAACTCCGAGTGTTAGGCGATACACGTATGTTTGTGTGTCACCTAGGGAGGTGGGGAGCTGTAGACGTGTACGCAGTGCGACATATAGGTATCCAGAGTCTGTTTTACCATAACGACTGCATATTTATTTCAATAGAAAGATGAATTGATCTCATTTCAAAATGTAGGTGTAATCAACATATTTGAGATGTTTTTGTTCATATGCGAACAACAAATCGTAATGTATGTAATTAATCTTTACTACATTGTACATGCCGAGAGTAAACTGACATGTAATTAAACTGTCTGACCCCCTCTGTGAGGCGTTATACCACAACGATGGCTATTTGCATGATTAATGAATAATTACGTCCATGGAATAGTTTACAGATATCAGACATGCCACGACGATTAGACGTCGATAGCCTAAACTATAAAGTGTTATCCTACCTCCCCTATATATAGATCTGGTATATTTATAAAAGAGGACCCGTCGGAAACAAAAATGGCGGTGTGCATGCAACAATACGTTCATATTCATACTTGTAAATTATTTTTTTCTTTGAAAAACAACAACAATATTTTGATATGAAGCTAATTAAACAGAGACATAGAGACATATACATCTCTGTTGAAAAAATAACACATTTTTTTAATTAAATTTATACTGAAGGACATCATTGTTCAGCCCATGTCCCCTAATTGTACCCCCGCAGCGTGATTGACTGGGCACGGCGTTGACTGCCGCCGACGAGAAGGTTCGGACAACTAACCATTAATCAACCCTGTCGTGTTGAGTGGTCAGTGCACGCCTAAAATACTCATAAACAAATATCCTTGGCCCTCATAGAAAAATGTTCGTCCTTGAATACAGAAAACAAAATTAGAAAATCAATATGTGGAAGCATTTAGATATGCTGTTATTTATCAATAGTTTGTAGGTATAATTAAATAAATGTTGCACGTGAAAAGTTGCACAACTTTCAGTGTCTTTTTAACGCTCGTGGCAGAGGAGATATATTTTCCCTTCGGTGCCTCATATTTTGTTTGTCCGCTGTCATGAAATGCGCTATTTGATTGGCTACACTTGATTCAACGTCATTGGCGTCACCTTATTGACGTTATGCATGGGTTTGGGTCGGGTCAGCGGCTGTCCGATGCTCTATAAATACCGACACTAACCCACGAGTACACCAAACCATTTGCCACTATCAACAAGGAACAACTAGAGATATTCTGAAACACAACCCGGACCGCAAAAAATGAACGGAATCATTTCTATTTGCATCTGTAAGTATAACGAGTTTTGCAACATAATATATTATTCGTATTCTACTTATTAGATCAAATAATATTTAGTTCTTAGCTAAGATTATCTTTCTACGGGATTATATGCAACTGTCTTTATCGAAATTTTGTTTTTCTTCGTTAAATCACGATATTTTTGTCGTTGATTCAGATACTACTTCCCGACTCTTTGTTAATATTTTCGACAAAATTAATATGACCATTGATATTTCGTCATTGGATTTTTATTTAAACATACAATTATTTGTTTTTGCATCTATTATACAAAAGGGGAGTTCAGCTTATATAAAGCCTTTTCCCAATAACATACTATACTATATATATGTATATACAAGATGGAAAATTTTGATTTAATTGATATTTTCAATTAAGTTTTAAAGAGTTGTTACATTATGTGTGAGAGAGGGCGGAGATGTTTAATGTGATAAGCTTTTATGAGATCGTGAGATCGTTTAGATGACTCTGAAATGAAGTTCAGTGTTGTATGGTTATCGATGTATGTAACTTTTAAGGTGATTATCACCAGAAGATGTTGATTGTTGTTACGGTAGACTGATGACGAGTTGTATAACATATCTCCCGTGTTATGTATGGGTACGTCCTTGTAATACGGTGTCATATGTAGCTCGTGGAAATATAACACAAGTGTCATGTAACGCTAGTGTCGTATAACCAAGTGGGCGTACCGTTCTCTACTTCGTTACAAATATGCATGTTTACAGATTTAGAAATAAATGAAAGGTACGAATCGTTCTGTTTAAATATGTACACTTTCATGTAAATGTCACATTCAGCATTTGGTTTAGAAATCGGTGTATGTACATGTAGAGTTTGGGGCATGGTAGATAAACAATATATACACTTCGGTCTCATACTTAATAATCCATATTTAAAACTTAAAAGTTTACATTGTGCTTACTTCAAGATGATGCAGTCGTCGATTAAACATCATTTTTGCTGCATTTTAAATTACGTATCTGGGATGTGAAACAGGTTCCAACTTCCCTTAGTTACGTTCCGAAGTAGTAGCAAGTCCGTAACACGTATAAACCCGTACAATGTTTAAATAAAAACTACTGACGATTGCATAGCCTCGACACCCTGTATCATGATGTCCGGTTTCTTTTACAGTTATCTCTCTTGCCGTTGTGGCTGTTCATTGTCAGCGGCGGGAACAGGAACCGAGCTGTCCCGAGTTCAATTCTCGTTACGAAGGCGAGAATCTCATTATCTCTCTCAACGAAGGATGTGATATGTAAGTTATCTTAATTTAATGACGAAAAACACCGGAAGTTTTATAGTACTCTAAATAGATATTATGAAGGGGATCACAATTAAGTCCCTAGCACATTGATATTTTTCTTAAATAGATAAACTGAGAACGAGTAGAGAATTTCTCTATCATACGCTTAAACTGAGGACTAAAATATCGTGAAAACTACCATAATTGCCCTGCCCGTCTTATCGTTGCCTGTGACATCATGGTTGTAATATTGCACGCTAAATATATATACCGTCAATGCATGTGCTGTCGTTACTACATCAGTAATGATAAAAGTATGTGAAGCCAAAGCGAAAAATAACCCATCTATTTCGGAAACGTATATTTGATACATCTTGAAATTTCAACTTTACATTACAGGGTCGTCGGAACTCTTGATATTACCGGTCTGAGTGGAATGGTTGCGGGCGTACCCAACACAGGAAGTGGATTAGTAACATCTGTCAGGTAGGTCCACACATATTGTACTGCCACTTTCTGGGTAACATCTGTCAGGTAGGTCCACAAATATTGTACTGCCACTTTCTGGGTAACAGCTGTCAGGTAGGTCCACACATATTGTACTGTCACTTTCTGGGTAACATCTGTCAGGTAGGTCCACACATATTGTACAGCCACTTTCTGGGTAACATCTGTCAGGTAGCTAGGTCCACACATATTGTACTGCCACTTTCTGGGTTACATCTGTCAGGTAGGTCCACACATATTGTACTGCTACTTTCGGGAGATAAAACCACGGAATTACATTATCTACGTCCGTGGTAAAACAATGTACCAGGGTGCGAAATAAATAAACACGCAACGAAGATGTTTTGCTTTGAATACAATGTGTGAAACAAAGGGAGGTAACCTGAAAAGGAAGTATTTATTTACTGTTTTTTATTTTATTTACTGTATTTTTGCAATTTCCAGGGGACTCCACATCCCGACTGTTACATACAGAAGACCCCAAAACATATGGGACATCGTCCGCCCGGAAATGTCCCGCCAAGTCTGTCCGCCATTCACTGTCCGATATCTAGGACCCCGTGTTGTCCTGGATACAGTGCCCAACACTTGTCAGAAGTAAGTATTTAAATCGTACGGGCTGTCAATAAACATGAAAGGTGTATTACCACCAGGAGAGACCGGTGGGGAGAGGGGAGTAAGAATAAGATTCATCTGTCTGGTATGAATAGTAAAGCTAAGTTTGTTTGAACACAAACAGGAATTAAAACAAACAAACTTACCATTTACGAAATATGATACATTTACCGAAAAGTACCTTCTGCTTTATGCGTTTGAGTTTTAATAGAAATGTTGTCTTCCTGTTATTATAACTCATGAAACTGATTTATCAAAAGCCGTTTAATAAAAAGCGGGCAAAAATAACATTCATTCTTTTAATTTTCGTTATGAAAATATGAAAAAATCCACAAGTGGGACATTGTCAATGAATTAGATCGGATAGACTCTGAAGGCAACGTTGTCAGCTATACAATAAAATGCTTGTATTGAAACTTCTAAAATTGATCATGGAATTCTTACTTACTGAAACTTGTTGTTCTTACAGGGTTGTGGGAGTGCGAACTTTCCAGGCGATGATTACAGGAGAAGGATCCGAGGGACGTCAAGGAATGATGTAAGTAGGAATGTATAGGGAGGTTTATATCACGAGATTTCGTAGGGGGAGGTGTTGGGGGTGGTGTGTGTGTGTGTGTGT